TGAATGTCTCCATTGACAGCAGACTAAAACTTATTTGACAATCCCCTATTTGAAATGTTTTACAGCATCTAACTGTGAAATTCAATCAAGGGGGGTTCACTGATCATCAGTAAGTATTGAACACAGAAATCTTTTTTTCTGAACCAGCATTGTAGGGAGCTGGTGTCTGTCTGTAAGGCTTGTTTATCTGAACACCCAGACCTCAACATGGAGCTCATGGTGAGAACAAACCTACAGCAACTCTGACTCTTGCAGGATCAAAGTCAAAAATCAGCTTCAGATCTGATGTCGTTGGTACAAAAAAACATCTGCCTGGAAAACTTCCCCACCAGGTGTGATCTACCAGCTCTCTCTGTCAACTTTTTCTCCATCTTTGAGCACAAGAAACAGAGCTAAACCGTGATAACGATAGGACTTTACTAAAGCCTAACTTAAAGGTTGCTCTGGACTAAATCTAGGAGGCAAAACCTCTTAAGTGTCCCTAAAAGCTCTGAACTCATGTGAGGGGATTAGAGCTGCTTACAAAATAGACTGAGATGAGCACAGATTCAAATATTGGTTTGAAAATGTGCACAATGACACCACTTTGGTGTATCAGTAATACTTTTAGACAGATAGAAGGTAGTTCAGGAAAAATAAATAAATGAAGAAACCACAAACTGATCAAGGTTAAACTCAAATGTCTAAATGATCCTGCAGAGTTGTGTCCATTTACGCTGAACCGGTTGTGGTAGTTGAACTCTCTCTCTCTCTCTCTCTCTCTCTCTCTCTCTCTCTCTCTCTCTCTCTCTCTCTCTCTCTCTCTCTCTCACAGCTACTCCTGATGCCTTCAGAAAATAACTACTTCTGTAACACCACGCAGGGTTAAACAAAGAAAGAGACACAAATGCAGAAAAAAGGATTTAATTAAAAAAAATAAAAAAGAAGGAAAAGTAAAAAATAAAAAAGCAACAAAAAGAAAAATCCAAAAGACAAAATCCACAAAAATCCCTGTGGAAACTCACATGGAGCAACTGGGGACACAATCATACACATAAACACAATGAACCAACAAAGAAACAGGGGAAGACAAGGACGGGGAAACGAGCAACAGGTGAGGCTAACGAGACACAGGTGAAACTCAGGAAGTAAAACCAGACTAGGTACACAAGGAATCAACTACTACAAAATAAAACAGGAAACACTGAAAACTGATCTAAAGAATAAAACACTGAGAACATGAGGGAAACAGGGTCAAACACAAACTAAAAACTCACAAGACAGGATCACAGAAACAATAGGGAACAGAAACACTAGGGACAATACACAAAATGCACTCAAGTAAAGCCTGGAGAAAACAGAACATATCATACGTATAAATAGAAGGTTCAGCTGACATGTCAGGAGTAATATGCATTTTCAGACTGAATCAAATTATCACACAAGTCCTTTTAGTTGGAGCTATGAGCCAAGCATACAGGTGCAGCTAATTAAACAGATGATAGATAGTTGTTGTCCAATTTGTTTATCCACTGCTGTGGCTGCATCATGGTTGTTGAACTGCCAAGGTCTCTCTAAAATCACAGTTTTATTCTGCAGGATTCACATCAGACAGAAGTTAGCATTGAAACACAAATTTTACCTCCATTTAAATTTCTGTCAACTTAAATTTGTTTAAAATGATAAAAAGAGTAAGAATTTGTGTCAGAAAACTTACTTTAATTCAGTTAGGTTCATCCCTTAAAACTGAAGTTTATCAGGCTGCTCAAAAGTTTTCATGCACATAGTTTTTCACTCAAAACATCCAGAGAGCCAAATTATGTCGTTTTTAGAGATGTGTCCACCTGTTTGTTTTTAGTTTGAACCCTTCACCTTTTTATCTCAATTTCATCGAAAGTTTTCTAAACATTTTAAGTGAATCCCTGATTTCTCTGAAAATGTTTCCATCCAAACTTATCGTCTTTAAAATCATGGTCTAAAATCTAAAACACTGATACAAAGCACCAGTTTTACCTTTAAAAGAACAAAACAGCTGAGAGTTCCCTCATTAACCCGTCTTTATAAATATCTTTAGTCTTTCACCAGATCTGAAAATCAGACTCACTGAACGAATGAACTGCAACTGCAACATGTTTATTATTTTGACTGTCACATGAGCCTTTATTCACAGTTTAGTTGTTGTAGTCTAGTTGATGTTAATTGTAAATCACATCAGTGCATTAATTTGTTTACCCACTGCTGTGGCGGCATCAGTGCTGGGGTAAGCGTCATGTGAGTGTGAGCACTAAAATGTAGATGTAGTGCTCGACTGGGACACCAGGGAGGGGGATAACCGGAACTGTTTGATGTCTGTTTGATGTCTGTTCTTTGAATACATGTAATATAGTGTCTTAAATCCCAGTGTGAGCTCAAACATCTACTGCATTTTTCTCACACCTCTTTCATTTGATTTTGCTTGTGAAAAAAATTACTCTTGTAGCAGTTCATGTTCGTCACGTTTAGACTCCTCCTGTCAGAACTGCAGCACTTATAGACTCTGAGTGTTGGTAGAAAGCAGTCTCATGCTCTCTCTCTCAGGAGTCGTCCTTTAAAAGAGATGCTTCATAAATAACTTTAAAATCCTGCTCTGAGGTAGGAGTGTTTTGAGTCAGCCCGATTCCCAGGAGTGACTCTGGGATAAATACAGACTCAGCCTGGACTTTGCGCATCTTTGGTGTTTTTAGCGATCTGAGCTGAAAGTAGCTGCTGAATCTTAAAGCACTGCCATCTTCAGATGACCATCAGTGACTTTGAAAGCCCCTGCTTTTGTTTGTCTCTAAATACACTAGACACCATAAAGAAAAAACAGTTTGTATCATATTTCATGTCCTAAAAGGTTGCTTTTTGTCTTCTTTTCTTTTGTTATAGGTTACCAAAGATGCAGCAAAAGACCTTGAGGGCCCTGAGGAGAAGCAACTACAAAACAGACAGCCTGTGTTTTTAAAATTATGTGTGTTTGAGAAGGAGAGAGTGAAAGAGACAATGTGTTTCAGATAAAAAAAGAAAGACAGCATCCTTTTTGTCAAGCACGAAAGACAGAGCGTGAGTTTGAACTTTCATGTCCCTTTAAAAGTGCAGCTGTTTCAGGGCCACAGCACCATCTGATTATCTGATCTTTTTATGCAGTCGCTCTACATTTTACTAACTGGATATGGGTCACAGTGACTCTTTTTATACTCTGTTCTCATTACATTTTTGGGACACTCAGCTTTTTACTCTAGAAGCCTTGTAAATAAATCAAAAATGTCCCTGATCTTCTTTAAAGTGCTGGTCATCTCTTCGTGTGTGTGCGTGATTGCTTAAATATACACACGTGGACAAAATTGTTGGTACCCCTCAGTTAAAGAAGGAAAAACCCACAATTCTCATTGAAATCACTTGAAACCTACAAAAGTAACAATAAATAAAAATTTATTGAAAATTAAATAATCAAAATCAGCCATTACGTTTGAAATGTTGATTAACATAATTATTAAAAAAAAAAAAAACTAATGAAATAGGGCTGGACAAAAATGATGGTACCTCTATAAAAGATTGAAAACTATTTGACCAGAGTGACATGATTAACTCAGGTGTGTCCTTTAATTGACATCACAGGTGTTTGCAAACTCATAATCAGTCAGTCTGCCTATTTAAAGGGAGACAAGTAGTCACTCTGCTGTTTGGTGAAAATGTGTGTACCACACTGAACATGGACAACAGAAAGCGAAGGAGAGAATTGTCCCAGGACATCCGAAAAAAAATTATAGACAAACATCTTAAAGGTGCAGGCTATAAGACCATCTCTAAACAGCTTGAAGTTCCTGTGACAACAGTGGCTCATATTATCCAGAAGTTCAAGACCCACGGGACAGTAGCCAACCTCCCTGGACGTGGCCGCAAGAGGAAAATTAATGACAGATTGAAGAGACAGATCGTTCGAATTGTATACAAAGAGCCCAGGACAACCTCCAAAGAAATTAAAGGTGAACTCCAAGGCCAAGGTACATCAGTGTCAGATCGCACCATTCGTCGTTGTTTGAGCCAAAGTGGACTTCATGGGAGACGACCAAGGAGGACACCACTGCTGAAAAAAAATCATAAAAAAGCGAGACTGGAATTTGCAAAAATGCATGTTGACAAGCCACAAAGCTTCTGGGAGAATGTCCTTTGGACAGATGAGACCAAACTGGAGCTTTTTGGTAAGGCACATCAACTCTATGTTCATAGACTCAAAAACCAAGCATACGAAGAAAAGAACACTGTCCCTACGGTGAAACATGGAGGAGGCTCAGCAATGTTTTGGGGCTGCTTTGCTGCATCTGGCACAGGGTGTCTTGAATGTGTGCAAGGTAAAATGAAATCTGACGACTATCAAGGCATTCTGGAGAGAAATGTGCTGCCTAGTGTCAGAAAGCTTGGTCTCAGTCGCAGGTCATGGGTCTTCCAACAGGACAACGATCCAAAACACATAGCCAAAAACACCCAAGAATGGCTGAGAGAAAAGCGTTGGACTATTCTAAAGTGGCCTTCCATGAGCCCAGATCTGAATCCCATTGAACATCTGTGGAAGGAGCTGAAACATGCCATTTGGAGAAGACACCCATCAAACCTGAGACAACTGGAGCAGTTTGCTCATGAGGAGTGGGCCAAAATACTTGTTGACAGCTGCAGAACGCTCATTGACAAATACAGAAATCGTTTAATTGCAGTGATTGCCTCAAAAGGTTGTGCAACAAAATATTAAGTTATGGGTACCATCATTTTTGTCCAGCCCTATTTCATTAGTTTGTTTTTTTTAAATAATTATGTTAATCAACAATTCAAAAGTAATGGCTGATTTTGATTATTTAATTTTCAATAGATTTTTATTTATTGTTACTTTTGTAGGTTTCAAGTGATTTCAGTGAGAATTGTGGGTTTTTCCTTCTTTAACTGAGGGGTACCAACAATTTTGTCCACGTGTGTATCTTCAGTTAAATTCTACACAGAGCTGCTCCCATATGGCTGTGTATGGAAATAGCAAACAATGTGACATACATGCAGCCACAGGCCGTGTTGTGACGTTGGCTGAGCGTCTCTTATTATCTGAGTCAGACTTGGCAGCGGGCAGCGCTGTGCCAGGCCGGTCCCAGCGAGGAGAGCGGAAAAGGAGGAGGGATGCTGGAGGGGCTGACTCTGCAGGGATGGTATCCAGGAATAGATGCGGTCAGATGGGGCAGTATCGATCAGCAGGGGGTCAGAGGATCAGCTGGTGGGGAAACGTAGGCCGCTCCCACGTCACAAGGATGTACATCGTGTACAACACTTGGCAGGTACTGTATTTACAGTATAGACAGATTGTGGCCTTTGAGTAAGGACAGCAGGTTATTATGTTGTGCAGTCCTTAACACACTGCTCTGAAATTAGAGGCTTTTTCACTGATGCAAAGTGAATACAGATACACTCTCATCTCACTTTTTTTTGCTCTTAAAGACACATATTGCCACAGTTTGATTTGATGTGTTCTGAAGTGATTATGCATTGAAGTGGGTGGACAGGTTAGCACTTTATGAGTTCATATGAGTTCATAAATCAAGAGTGAAATACATATTCAGAAAATAGTTTCTGTTAAAAGCCTTGATTAGAAAATCTAAAACTCATAAAAATGTTCCCCTCCTGCAACAGAACATTCTGTACATTGAATCTTTACATTTTTATTCATCCAGTTTCTTTGAAATACTGCACAGAAAGTCTTCTTATTTTTTACCCACCTTTGTCTTATCAAAAAAAAATCACAGGCACAAAACAAAATGAGATATTTATGATTATTTAAGCTGCCACTGAGCCATCACAGTTATTTAAAAAGAGCTCTTTAAAAAGTTTACTTGTGTTCATTCTGGTGAACACTTTAAATGGACTGAACCTAAATTCAGTCCGCATCACTTTTAACCGAGTGAATATCCTGCATGCAATAGCTATATTTAGGAGTAAGGCTCAGTTCTGAGAGCTTCCTGCTCTTCCACATGCTTACATGGACTGCCGAAGTCTGCAGCAGGGAGAGCACATCTCCCCTTTATCCAAGTGCATAGATGAAAAACAAAGGCAGGGGGAATAGAAGCAAAGACCCCCAAGAGTACAGAAGAGAGCAGGCATCTTTGACAGTAGATGTGCTGGTAAAATCAGACACATCATAAAAGGAGGAGGTGGGTTGCAGGAGGGCAATAAGAGTAAGAGTAGGCAGTTAAAATAGCATGACCATTTTGGACTTGCTAATGTGTAGAAGATAAACTGCTGAGCTGTCAGCTGAAGTATCACAATTTTTTTGTTTTACAATTTTTAAATTGATTTTTCTGTTCAAAAATCTTTTTTTTTTTTTTTTTTTCAAATTTAGGAATTAATCTTAAAAACTGACCTACATGTGGTATGTATTTTTGGGGGAAATATGGTTCCTGGAATAGTCAGTAGACAATCATAATCATTCAACTGTTTCACTGGTGTTAAAATGCAGACTGAAAAATCAAGAAAATCGACAATATTGCAGAATCGCAATTTAAATCGAGTCGGCATCCAAAAAAACGCAGAAGAATCGAATTGGGAGAAAAGCATATCGTCTCAGCCCTATTGTGTATGCTGAGTTTGACTATCATGGCCTGCCTGAACTATGCTTTGCTAAATTTATATACAATGTGGAAAACTGTCTTCAGCCTCACAGAAAAATCACACAATCACCTGACTTACAAATAAGACAACCCTCAAACACAGGGGAGAGCTCTCTGAATCTATCATCTCAACTTTATCCATAAGTAAAGAACACAACCTTCAGAAGTGGTAGTTATACTTTTAAAAGTTAGGAAACAAACTTATTTCATAAAAAGCAGCCATCTTCACAGACAATTTAATTTGTGGAAGAAGAAAATCCCTTGCAGGGTTGGAGTTGATTTTTGGCATCAAAACTTTGGGCTCAATATTCCTCTCTCATATTTTGGATACTTTTGAAATGTTGAAAGCTTGATTTTAGACATTAATTTAATGGTTAAAAACTAAAGCAGGTGTTAGTGTTTCAACTTTTCTGTTATGTAGATCTAGCTGTTATGTCAGGCATATATGCCTCTTTATATGATGTTTCTAATTTATGAAAAAAGAGCATAACAGAGCTCCTCATTTCGCATAATCTTTGACAGCATCAGACGGCTCTCGATGTTCTCTCAGTCAGAAGATTGGTATTCATTTGCAGCTCTTAAAGCCCACATGACGAAGAGTCCTTGGGCAAAACACTGAACCCTGAACTGCTCCTAATGGCTGTGCCAGGAGTGTGTACATCACATGAATAGGATGAGTTAATACCACTTTACCTTGCTGCCAGAGTGTAAAAACATGTATCCCACAAACTTCTCTGGCTTTGACAATGAAAGACAATATTACTGCTGCAGCTAAAAAGCTCATAGAAATACCTACACATGCCTATTGTGTGTTGTACCAGGAAGGTTTTCATCAGAAAAACCTACGTACACATTTCTAATTTCACAGTGCACCATTTAACCATCAGAACGATCGTCAAAATCAATTTTCAGTGCAAGAAACCTTTAGAGTTGTAAGTAAATTCTTGTTTCAATCTGCCATGTGCGCAGAATTTAAAAGAAGACAACCATAAGCATTTTACGAGCTTTCCATAAAAGCCATTCATAAAGCAGTTCTCACACTCAGGCTCTTACATCTGCATAATTTAACTCTCTAATAAAGCTTTAGGTTTGATCTTTATTAAAATTATTCCTCGTGCTGATCTATAAAGAACTGACACTCAGACTTCAACCGTGTCTTCCTCCTCCCTTCTTTCTCTTTGCTCCTCAGTTTTTTTTTTTTTTATCTGCAGTCCTTCAATTTTCTCCCTTCACTCTCAGAGTTTCAGAGGCCCAGAGCACACTGAAACTGGAGTGGACATCTTTGCTTTTTGGTTATTTAGAGAGTGAAGACTCTGACAGAGGGCAGCCATCCTGCTGTCCTCATCTGACAGCTCTGCCTCTCTGCTCTCAGCTGCCTTTTATATCCTCTGTTAGTCCTCTCTTGCTTTTTTACAGAGCTGGCTTATTTTGGCTCACATTTTAAATATGACCTTGTCTTTCAGGCGGAAAAATTCAATCTTGTTACAGCATGGATTTAGGTTTTAAATACAAATACAATCGTAGTTTCGGTTTTTCAATCTTGACGTTTTCATCGATCTCTTTCTGAATAGATGTTATTAAGTCTTACAAAATGATCCCCTGTGAAGGGATAGACAATAAAGGAAAAATATCTTGCCATTTGTAGATACATGTAAAGAAAGACAAACGTATGAGGTTAGACTATAACTGAGCATGCATTCTCAGGAAAAGGAAACATTATTTCTTCTTACCCTCTGCACTCTAAACAGTGACATATTCACTCTGGACTATCCTTGAACATCACAAGAAAAAAAAACCTGTGAAAGCATTGAACAAGAATCAGAGAATTTCTAAAGAAATCAGTCCAACACTTGAAAAGATGGCCCACAGCGTGACTGCCCTTGAGACGTTTCCCTCAGCGATTCTGCAGCAAAGAAAAAATAAATCATAGCGGATAAAAAAAGGTGACGGCCATGGCTGTCTGTAAAGAAAAATAACAGTGCCTCTTTCTTTTTGATTGCAGTCAACAAGCCACAGAGTTAGTCAGAGTTTGCAGAGGCGTCAGCAGCAAAGAGGAATTTACTGTAGGTCTTTAAAGAGGCAAAAAGTAGAGTTTAAAGTAACATAAAACAGCTTGTAATATGCATAAGCAGTGCTCAGACACATCATTGTGTGTTAATGTAATATCATCGCAAAAAATACATCAACCAGTAATGTCATCAACATGGCAAATGGGGTTTTATGCTTGGGTAATCTGATGAGGATGCAATATATCTTTTTTTTTTTCAGATTATTTAATCCAAAGCGTTTTCTCTTATGTAGTTTTTAACACCTATACCAATAATAACTTTCACTGGCTGGCTAAGGACTTCACTTAAACTGTAATTCAGGAAACTGTGTGCAGAATTTTCTGGCATTTTTAGAAGAATATAACACATGTGTTGTTGGGGCCTAACAGATAAAATCTTTTTTCTTTTTTTTTTTTTTTTTTTAAATTTCAGTGTGTTGCACAGAGGCCAGGAAATAGTCTCTGGCCAAAGATTTGATCTTTATAGCTGGACTTAGAGGATCAGTCGTTTTTTCAAACATTTTCCGACAACTACAGATTCACATTGAATCCTTAAATATGTAAATGAAAAAGACTAGAGTGTAATATGGATTAGCACTTATATGCTTTCTTATTTTATTATTTAATGAATAATCCAAGTGAATGAATGGTGGCAGCTTTACACAATGGTCTGACTCAGAGGGCTCTATTTTCGTGTCCGCCGGGGACGCGGCAGAGGGTGGCGGACCCCGCACAGTTGTATTTTCGTCCGGCGGAGCCCGGCGTACAGCCAGTTTGGTATTTTCGTGGACTGAGGCGCACCGAGGTCTGCCAAGCTGGGCGTGGTGGCGTGGCAGGGGGAGGTGTCGACAGAATCGGCTGGCACAGTGACATTTTCATGCTCGCCACCGGTGTGTAAAGTGCGCTGAAAGCTCGCCGATTCAGACCTGGTCAGCTTTCAGCGCAGGCGGAGCGCAGCTGGTCTAGTGGTATTTTAGTAGACCGGCGGGGTATCGGCATACGTCACTGATGCCTCACTGGCAGGTTTCCACAGTGTCAGGCACATTTCAGTGTAATAAATAATTAACAACAATCTGAGTCAGCACACACATTTAGATCTATAGATATATTCTGATCTATATGTGATCTGATGAGCGCGTTTGGCACGCATTTGGACACACAACCTGACCGAATTAACACAGCTGAAAGCACATTAAATTAAATATCTAGTAAATAGACACACATGATGAAGTTAACAAGATATGTAATTCGTCTCCCTTCTTTTCTTTCTTCCTCTTCCTCTTATTTGTCGCGCAGCTCGACCTGGACATGTCTCCGTGTCCTCTCCCCGTCCTGCTGCAGCAGCTGCAGCAGCTGAACAGATGATTTGTTTCAGTGCTCAGATGAGTTATTTACTTTAAGCCTACATACGGATATTATGATATTCAGTTTTGTGAGCCAAATTTATTTTATATGCCAACATCTATGAAAGAAAGAGCCAGGCCACAGAGCTTGATGCGTCATTACGCACAGGTTTGGTTCAGATTTTAATGCAATTATTAGAATTTATGATGTGATCTGTGCGCACAACCCACCTTTGTCACATGAGGTTTGAATATGTGCAACTTTATCTGAGTGTCTTTATTTGTGGAAAAGGGTGTTTGTCTTACCAGTGGGTCCAACATTACACACACCAAATCCATCTGTGCTTATATGAGAGAGTGTGAAGGACGCCCTCTGCAGAGTTTACACCGACAGTTGTTGAGGAGCTGCCTTCTGTCGCCATCATGTGGCATTGCTGTCTTCAGACATCTATGATCTCTTGGACTACTTCACGAAAAGTGTAATATGCCCCGCCGGTGGCGGATTTAAAGGCGAGGAGAGGAGCTTATGTGATTGGTGAAAACAGGTCTCGGCTGTGTTAAACCCACTCCACGCCCTCTCTCCTCCCTCACTACAACTTACGCCGCTGGGAGGAGCTGAGTTAGGGAGGGGGGATGCTTATGCCGGGCTGCGCCGCTAACCAAAATACCAAATTGTGCTTGGGAACGCCTTGTCGGCGCAGCGGATTGTTGTGAAATTTCATTTGGGGGCAAAATGTGTTTGTTTTTTTTTTAGCTATTCTTTACACCTAGCCCCAATTTCTGCAAAGGGAAAATCTGAATGGGGCAAATGTGTCAAAAAGGCTAACTTGACAATGCTCACTCTTTTCTTCATCAAATTTGCTGAGGTATGAGCTAGGTTTCTACCCTACATCACCAAAAAGCAGAATGTAATTTACCTAAATAAATACTGAAATATAGTCAGCCCTTTTTTGAAGACCTGCTGCTGGACAAGAAGGGAAAAACTGGTTTTAAAATGAGACTACGAATGTATTTGTTCGCCACATCATAATATCATCTTGATTACTGATTGAGCAAGGTTTTGTCATGTGATACATGAAAGGTATGTTGCTTTTCCTTATGTTGTTTTTGTTTTTTACTTGAAGTGTTGTTGTTTTTTTTCTTTAATTAACATTGTGAGTAGTTGAGATTGTAAATACTGTGTTTTGTATATATTGTCTGGACCCCAGTAAGACTAGCTGTCATCTTGGCGTCAGCTAATGGGGATCCTTTTATATAAACAATAAAATGGATTTTGAGATTTTTCACCAAATGACACCAAATATTTAGGTAATCTTTGGAGAAACAGCTCTTTTCAAATGACTTTCAGAAAAAATTCATGTTGACCGAGGCAGGAAAATAGTCTACACAAATATAGTAATGATTTCCAGATGCTGTTGAGGGGCTGGGGTTCAGGCTATGACTAAAACTTCAGATATCTTTTTCCAGATATCTTAAATCTACTGATAAGTGTTAATTTTGTCATTTCAAGAATAATCATAAAGATAAATGCTGATGAAACAAACAAAAAAAGAGGAATTATATTAAAAATCATGCAACTCTTTCCCCAAGAGGGCCAAATTCTTCAATGTGTGGCTCATCAATACTTGACCCACCCATTATCACAGGTGTGACACTTTGTGATTCATGTCACTCTCCAGTTAATTTCATACCGTTTGTTTTTCAACACTGTGAATATTGGTCATAATTTAGTGTTTGAACCTTTCTCAAAGCTGAGTTCATGTTTTCTTTCACTAAGCTGAGAATAACCTTGTAAAACAGTCAAGTATGTTTCTAAGCTCTATAGCGCTGCGCATCAGACTGGCCTTGTTTTTTAATTGGAAGAAAGCATGAAAAATGACATCCTCTGCTCTCAACTCTTGGGAAAAGGCTAATAATACAAGTCAAGTACAGGGCCCTCATTTTTGTAACCCAAATCTGAATCTAATGTTTGGTCTGTTCAGACTTTGAGCTTTTTCTTTCCTCAGCACCAGGTGGGATTTTACTTTTTGTGTCATAGTTTAGTGTGAGGCACAAACAAACATCATCGTCAGTGTGTTATTAGACTCTCAGTCAAAGTTGCCTGACTGCACTAAATTACAGGGACAGAATACAGGTTTACTTTTTCTGTGGTCCAGAACTATTTTCATTTCTCTCAGATGAATGCGTTGCAAGAGAAAGACAAGACAAAGTGCTTTCAGTCCCTTTTATCCCGGGGGTTTCCTCCAGCTGAGTCTCACTTCTTGGTTTAAACCATCAAACCGAGTTTCATGTGGTCCAGAGCTCATCCTGAGCTGAAAATCTCAGCAGACATGAAATATTAACAGCATATCTATCTGTGTCTCCCTCCTGGAATAGCTTCAGTATACCTGGGCTTCATGTTGGTTTTCAGCTGATGAAGATTAAGGAGGCCGAGACACAAATCACATCCTACAAAGCTGCACGGAACATGAGCACAGCCCCTCCCTCTGAATGAATGAAGGTGATACTCTTTGAACCCTCATGAACATGCATGTTGGTGTCTGGAATGAATCACCTACATCTGCCTGGCAGTCTTCTGTCCCCCTCAATTTTCAAACGACTAGATGTAAATTAATCAAAGATTAGTCACATATTTTCTTGTATCTATTGTAAAGGTAACATATCAGCATGTTTGTTAAAAGTGGGGTAGGCAGGAGGAAGTGCCAGTTTTCAGGAGAAATCATTTCTTCCCTCCATCTCTGCTCCAGCAAACCCCGCCCACAAGCAGACGCTCCTGCTAACTCGTATCGTTCCAATTAAATTCAGATTTACTGCAGATAAATACTTCAGATAATTACAAATAGAGCCCAGTCAACATGAAAGTCAAAAGCATTAGTGCTACTGTGGATGCCAACAGTCTACCAGCAAACACAATGTTTGCAGAACTTCTACGATTAGGATTAAGTGACGTACTCCAGGACCTGAGGTAAACAGTTTAGTGGCGCTACAACACGCAGCAGGTCCCGTTTGACAAGAAACACTTCTGTTACAGACACTTGGCTTACTTTGTTAAAGTGGTTTACCTGTCCAGCAGAGAGGTTACAGGGTCTGTAAGATCCCCCAAAGCGTCCCCCATCGTTTATGCTTCACTGATGTTGACCCGGCTTTTTAGCTCTTGTCTGGGTGGTCTACCTTCTTTTTAAGCGCCCGTAATTCCACCAGAGTCTCCGGTATTTACTTTGTTTTCTTGCTTGTGTTGGCAGTTGTGGCCAAAGGAGGATTCAGACAATTTTCTGTACTTTCTGGTTGGTAAGTACAGTCCGATATTGTAGCACAGTAACTTTGTTTGGGCTCATGCCAGTAGGTAAGGATGTGGAGCGTGCCTCACAACATGAGGGAGCAGCATCTGCCTCACAACCAATCAGGTTGGGGGAGGTGGAGAATGGCTTTGTTTACAGTCAGAAAGAGCGGGCCACTCAAAAGTTTAAAAAAAGATGCTTCTTTAGAAGATTCCTGCCTACCGCACATTTAAGACTCTAACCAAAATGGGAGTGGACAAATGTCCCTCTGCTTCTATCTTATTTAATAGACTTTGACTGTCACTGCAGGTCTAGGCTCACAGATTTGTACGCTGTATGATAAACATTACACAATGTGCATTTTTTTTTTTTTTTGTTAAAATTAATGGCATTTTTTGCAAATTTTGCTTCAATGGGTTATTTTGGGTGGCACAGTTTGGACATAAGACATAAGACATGAGAATAACTTTATTGATCCCCGAAGGGAAATTCAAGTGTCGTGGTTAGCACGGTCGCCTCAAAGCAAGGAGGTCCTGGGTTTGAATCTGGGTCAGGGTGTGGAGTTTGCATGTTCTCCCTTTCTATAGGGGTTTTAGTCCAGGTACTCCAATTTCCTCAAACATCCCAAAAACATGCAAAAGTGGGGTTAGATTAATTGGTTGCACCGTGGGTGTGAATGTGAGTGTGGATGGTTGTTTGTCTCTTTATGTCAGCCCTGCGATGAACAGGCGACTTGTCCAGGGTGTCCCCTGCCTTTGCCCCAAGATGCTGCAATGATGGATGGGTTATTAACACATTCACTTTGAGAGCCCTAAGTCCAAGCTTAATTAGCAGGCTGGGGTGTTAAACTCTTGCATGTACTGGATTTTTGAAAATTGAAAATAAGTCAGTATTCATATGCAAATATCCTCAGCCTGAACTTGAATTTACATCTAATTTACATCCAAAAAACAAGGCTTGATCCTTAATGAGATGGTGTGATAATTGGGATGAGTGATGAAGATGTGGAATGACTGAGTACGATGCAAAACACGTTTTTTTTTCTCTTATAGACAAAAATAGTACGGTCCAGACGCTTTATCTGTCTAGCATCTAGAGATGACACTATAAATACAAATTGATTGATTGATTGATTGATTGATTGATTGATAATTACTCTTTAATTTTATTGCTTTTGCTTCATTGATGCCTGGAGGCTGACTTATGCTCTAATCACCTGTGGAATCTCAGGAACTCAGGGAATTTCAAAGTCCTTTTATTTGTTGTGATTTTGAAAAGATTGACTTTCAAGCGTTAAGTTTGAGTCAGACAGAAATTTTTCTTTCTTTCTTTACTTTATTTCATTCTAATTTTTATTGCTGAATTTAGAGAACCTTGACCAACCACACAGAACTTTTTAAGGGGATCTTTTGTGACAGAAATGAACAGATTCACACCTTTTCCACCTCAGCTCCTGATAGACTGTGATCATAGCTGCAGATCAGTTTAATATGAACATGGATCATTTAAGGCAACGCTGCTGCCTGCAGAACTTTTGTATCTCAGAGGGAATTTTTCAAGGTAAACCCTGTCTTTGAATGAATAGTCCTTTTTATTTGGAGGGTTTCTAACTAAGAGAGTCAGCCATGAAAAGAGCTATTTACATTCTCCAAATAACAAGGAAAGACATTAATTGCTTCCTTTATTATCTCCTTTGGCAAAACATCAACTGGACTATCCTCTACAAAAAGAGAGAAGTAATAATGGCCCACATTTTTTTGTGTGTCACCCTTATAATATAGCAACAAACAATAGTTGTAATAGCTTTAGATTTAAAGGCTGTCTGCACTGATTTAAATACTGAATACTCAGACAAAAACTTCCATATGCAACTAAATATGAGCAGAGAGTAGTGTGTGCGGTATTCTCAACATGACAACCATTCACATTAAACTTAAATTATATGCTGCCTACAATACTAGTAACCTAAATGAATTGAATGCAAAATGCATTCACTTTTAGATGATAAAGGCAGTTTAAGTTTGAGAAACAAGCAGTTTCTGTTTTATTTGATGATATTAAAGTTGCTAATCTCTAATTGATGAACATTTATCTGTGGCAGTGGAGTGAGATTTTTTCCTGTTCATACTGCCTCACACATTATTTTTAAGCTGATAAGACAAAGTTAAACATTACAACAAGGTCTAGTACAAGAAGCATAAAATGAAGGTAGAATATCATGGAAAAGTCAAACATTTTACATCTTTTATTTTAGAAAGACAACACCCTTTAAATGTAAACTAAAATGCATCTTTCTATTGAGGGCCGCTATCAAAACAACCTGGGCTTGCACCTTAGCAGAGCTGATTGACTCCCCTGCTATGCTGTTTCGATGCAGTAAATCATAAAAAGGGAGAAACTTTCCAGGAGTTCAAAGATATTCAGATTATTACAGCAGCTAAATGCTAGATGCTGGCTTGTCTTGTCGAGCTGTGTTTGTTTATAACCTACAGGAACCTCCATGGTGTCATATTCATCACAGAGGTTTCCAGGGTAAATGGGCTTTATTTAAACTATGGCACAAACTGACAATCTCACTTTATATCTGTAACTAAGTGTAACAGTACTCTGACTGTCTTTTTACTGTAGCTGACTTTTCCCATCTTCTTCTTCAGAGCCATTGTGGGCCCTGTGATATCTTCCATCGGGGTTAGGGAAACATGGTCAGGATAATACATATGGATATGATTCTCTGACTATTTGACCAGGCTCCCTGATTTATTGGACCTTTTTCACAGTGGACATTTTGACTTGTCCTGGCAGGTGTTACTGATCACATGGCTTTGTCCATTATGATTAAGCAGCTAATCAAATGAGGCTCTTGGATGTAGCACATCTAAATAATGTCTAGTCATAATTGAGGTAAGTAGAAACCCTTGTGTTGTCCCTGCACTAAATTTACAGGCCCACTGTGAATAAAGCCTGTCAGGCATATCACAATTCAGGGTTTTTATTTCTCTATCAGTGCACTAAGCTGCTAAAATGAGACATCACTGCCTGTTCATTAACGTAAAGGTCAATTTTTACGTCTAGTTAAGTTGAATAGACAAAAAAAGATTTTCTAAGGTCTCTCAGGAGAGACGCACACATGAGACGAAACAAGAGGAGGGATTTTTAATGAATCTGCGAGCTACCTGTGTGTGCTTAAAAGAAGGCAGGGGATTTTTGCAGTGTGCACGGGGCTCAAGTTGTCTTTCTCTGGGACATGAGTGCAGTAATTGGTTTGTGGGACTGAGAGAAAAAGATGGGGTATTGGTTGGGCTTAATCCCACCAGTCATTGGTTCATAAGGTCATGTCAGTCCAACACTTAAGGTTTTTCTTTGATTCTGAGCATGAACAGCGACTAGTTGAAGCATCTTTGTGCTGCTACTCGGGGTCATCGGCCTTTGTAAAACAACTGGTATGCATGAGAAAGTGTCGGGAATAAAAATCTTAAACTCAAGGAACTATAAAAACCCCTGATGATTATATGTTACGACCGTTTATGAGCAGAGATGAACGATAGATAGATAGATAGATAGATAGATAGATAGATAGATAGATAGATAGATAGATAGATAGATAGATAGATAGATTGATTGATTGATTGATTCGAGGATTCAAGGAATCTTTATTGTCCCCGTGGGGCAAATTGCTTTACAGCCAGCAGTGCCACAAACAGACATAATACAACTAGCACAACAATAAAAAAATGAAAAAATTATAAAACAGAGAGACTACAAACAATCACTTGTTTAAGGATAGGGATAAGAGAGTTCTTCAGTCTGTTTGTCCTACATCTAGGCAGGACATACCTGCGGCCCGACGGGAGCAGCACAAACTCACCAGCCAAGGGGTGGCTCTGATCAGTGAGGAGTGAGCGGGCCTTGCTTAGTGTTCTAAGCTTAAAAGGGTCAGAGAGATCCTTGAGGTTAATGCCAGCAATTTTGCTGCATATTTTCACTTTACCAGACAGTCTGTTCTTGTTTTTTAAGGAGAGTAGGCCGTACCAGCAAATAAAAGAGAAAGTTAAAACAGACTAAACAAAACAGGAATAAAACATTTTCATAGAAGTGCTGTCAACATCAAAACTCTGCAGTTTCCTGAAAAAGTACAAACGTTGATGT